CTACATGCTTAAAACAGAAAACTTGGAAAACTCCTAAAGAGAAATTCTTTAATGGACAAATGGAGTTGTGGTTTATTAAAACAACTTTTTTGGGGGGAAAAATCTTGGACTCCTTTTGAAATAAAATGGTTGCCTTCTAATCTACCGGGACTGGAAAGTAACCCTCTAGGAATACAGCTTAAATTGGGGAGCTTGTAAGGTTGGGGGTGGTAGGGACACTTGATAGAAAACAACTGTCATCTTAATTAACCCTGACAAACTTCAGCGTTTAGATTTTGAAACCTCCAAGAATCCACATGTTGTTCATGTTTGTTTGACATCAGATTAATCTTGTTTTTAGAAAGACTTTCTTTTTCACTGTCTTACCTTCTTCCCTTCCATCTAAGAAATACAGCCGTACATCATAAGATAACTTATGGATCCACAAGGCAGACCTTAGGTCCATATGGTGAAAGTCTCCACCATCCTCCTCTAATTAAGAGAACTTCACCAAGAATGCGTAATAATTAGGTTACCGAGCAGCATCCAGGTCCACAGCATCTGCCCGGGGGGCAGGCAGGGAGTGTCCAATGCTCAGAGCCTCTGAATGAATGTGTGTGTAGTCCACCTCACCATCATCAAAACCGAACCCGGAGAAATCTGCAGAACATTAGAGCATGTTGAAAAATCTACAGTGCCTTAGCCTGATTTATGCCTTCACTGAGAGAGAACCACCCACAAACTCTAATGACGACATTCCATGCACCCCAACCCCAGCAGCCCCCCGGCACAGTCTTTCAGTGGACAAGTTACAAGTTGAAGCCTGTTTTGGAAAAACTCCCCTTTCTCAATTCTCCACTCTGGTTTAAGTTGATCATTTCTTAAAAGCAAGTCTGTTTCTGCTTGTTTAGGAAATTAACCACCGATTTTTTTTTTTCTCTTTACTCCAAAGAGTAAAAAGTACCATCTGATTGTGGGTGTTCCTGCCGGGTTTACAGAAACAGGTTCCTTGTTAAGGATGAGAGAAAGTGGATTAGGGGATTTTGCCAATGACTAGCTCGCAGAATGTCTGCTTCATAGCAGTCTGAGTGTTCACAGACACACTATCTCATTTAATCCTCACTGCAGCGTTAGGCAGCAGGGGGATCAGAGTGGACTTGCACGGGTCAGTGGCCTTTTATTAGCTGAGGAGCATGGCATGAGGGATTCCTTATTTTAGGTTTTATTTGACTGGGCGATAGGCTGAGTCAGACAGAAGGTCCTCCCCCTCCAAGTTGCATAGAATAACTGAAGCGCACAGACCAGGGTGATGTGTTTATGGAGCGTATTAGGGAAACATTCAGCAGGCAGCTAACGATGAAACTGGTGGCTTTTGTCTTGCCCTTACTCCAGATGCATTTCACATTCATTAATGCCAAGTCTCCACCAATTTTTTTTCTCAGTTTCTCAGTCTTTGCAACCCTGGAAAAACATTTTTTATTGGATCAAGTGGTCTGGCCCAGGGCAGCACTCCGTGTTACTTCACTCCTGGGACCGCTGTGTTTTCTTGGGCTCCTCTAGACTGTTCCGTCTCGGTACAGCTAGTATTTATCAAGTTCTGTGAAAAGAGGTCTCATCTACGCAGTGCGAAACGACATAATAAGCAACATGCAAGCAGATGTTAGGAAAACCAGAATTGATGAGAACGCTCAGGGAGTAGATAGGGATTCTAGGGATCCTCGGAAGCGTTTGCATGCCTTCGAAATGTTGTTTTAATTTTTAATTATACAATAAATATTTGAATCCCTTCCCTTTTAAAAGTGTTTAGAATATTCTAGGTAATGCTAACACTCACTTTGATCATCACCTCTAATTTCTGTTCCCTGGTGCTCTGCCTGCCAGAAGTAATTACTGTTCTGACTCTGGGTATGTTCTTTCAGATATTTATAAATATATGAGTGCCTATGGAAAATAGGAACATTTTATGTGTTTCTAATAAAAGGAAATAACATGCAGTCTATAACTTTCAGAAGATTGTTGCTTTCGCTCAATATTTTTTTTGTTGTGTCCACGTTGATACATGGAAATCGGGTTCACTTTTTTTCAATTGAATTTAGTTTTCCATTGTTGAATATACTATTCTCTAATCTCCTTTGGCTGAACAGCTAAATCAGTTACAGTGTTTTACTATTTATAACGATCCTGTAATGAACATCTTTTTACATGTCCCTTGCTCACACGTATGGGTTTTTTTCTAAGATAGGTAATGAGAAGTGGAATCGCTGAGAATATTTCCTTTTACTTTTAATTTAGTTTTTTTAATCTAAGAAATATATGCATATAGTTTAAAACTTATCTAGTCTTCCGAAGGGAAGTATAATGAAAAACAGCAGTCCCCAACGACCCCACCACCATCCTTCCTTTCTGCCCAGAAGTGACAACTGACAA